TGTTTAACATTTTTCATATATTGATTTGCTTTTTGTACTTATTTTGAGAAGTGTCTGTTCATTTCACTTGCTCATTTTTTGATTGGGTCTCTTATTTTATAGGGGGATATCTAGTATTTTTTAGTGCCTTATATATCCTAGATGTTAGTTAGTCCTGTGTCTGAGGAATAGCTTTCAAGAATTTCTTTCTATTCTGTAAATTATATCTTCACTCTGTTGATTGCTTCCTTTGCTGTGTGGAAGGCTTTTATTTTGAAATGATCCAATTTATTGATTCTTAAGTGCTTTTCTTATGCAACTGGCATTCTGTTTAGAAAGTCTTTGCCTACTCCCATCTCTAAGAGTTCTTCCTGCAGATTCTTTTTTAACATTTAGACCTTTGATCCATTTTTATTTTAGTTTAGTACATAATGACAGATACCAGTGTAGATTCAATCTCCTGAATATGAATAGCCAGCTTTCCTTGTATTGTTTGTTGAAGAGGCTGTATCTTTCCTCCAGCATGGTTTTTTTTTTTTTTTTTTACCTCTTTGCCAAAATTAAGATAGCTCAATGTCCCTGGAGTTGTTCTGCATCTTCTGCTCTGTTCCATTGAGCTATATGTCTGTTTTTGAACTGGTACCATTTTGTTTTTATCACTGAGCTTTGTAGTGTATCTTGAAGTCTAGGATTGTGATGCCTACTGCTTTGTTCTTATTGCCCAAGATCACTTTTGCTATTCTGGGTCTCTTCTTGTTCCATGTGAATTTTAGGATTGTTTTCTCAAGTTCTGTAAGGAATGCTGTTGGTATTTTAATAGAGATTGCATTAAATCTGTATATCAGTTTTGAGATTATGATCATTTTGACAATATTGGTTCTGTCTATTCAGAATGGGATAACTTTTCATTTCTGATGTCTCCTTCAGTCTTTTTGAGTACTGTAGTTTCCACTGTAGAGGCTTTTTACCTCCTTGGTTAGTTAATTCTTATTTAATTTTTCTTGATATTAGAAATAGTATTATTTTCCTAATTTCTTGGTAAACAGAAATGCTATTGATTTTTGTGTACTGATTTTTGCATTCTGCTATACTACTGAATTTGGTTATTTATTCTAGGAGTCTTTTGGTGGAATATTTTCAGTCTTCTATGTAGAAGATCAAGTCATTTATAAATAATGATAGTTGGCTTCTTCTTTCCTTACATATTGCTCTTTTAGTTTTGAAAATAAAAGCTTTCAGGTTTTTCCCATTTAATATGTTGCCAGTTATGTTTGTCATTCTTTTATCAGTTGAGACAGAGTCCTTCGAACTTAGGTTCTTCCAGATTTTTACCATGAATGGATACTGAATTTTGTCCAAGGCTTTTTTCTGTATATTAAAATGATCATGTGAGTTTTAACTTTGTTTCTCTTTATGCAGTGTGTTACTTATTGATTTATATATTTTGAATCATTCCTACATCCCTGAAATGAAGGCTACTTGGTCATGATACATGATCTTTTTGAAGAGTTGTTGCATTCTTTTGCCAATATCTTGTTGAGGATTTTTGTATCTATGTTCATTAAAGACATTGGACTGTACTTCTCTTTTTGGTTAGGTTCCTGTCTAGTTTTGGAATCAGGATAATGCTAGCTTCCAAGAATGACTTTAGGAGTATCTCTGCCTTTTCAATTTCTTTACTTTGAGGAATACTGGTGTTAGATCTTTCCTGAAGTTTTAGTAGAATTCAATGGCAAATCCATTGGGTCTTGGGGTTGTCTTTGTTGTTAGGTTTTTCTTTTATTACTACTTCAATTTCATTGCTTATTACTAGATTATCCGTAGTTTTTATGTCTTCTTAAAGAACCTACATTTTTTTTTTTTTTTTTTTTGGCGGAACCGGGGATTGAACTCAGGTCCTTGCGCTTGCCAGGGAAGCGCTTATTCCACTGAGCCATCTCCCTGGCCCCAAGAACCTACATTTTAAAATAATTACACATTAAGCTGTTAGGACTTTGACTCTTTTAGGGGAACATGATCTTCTCATTATATTATGTGTTACAGATCCCTTGTTATGATTTGATTTAAACCATGATGTGACTTAAAGGGAACTTATTGTACTTTGGGGGCATTTCAGTTTTTTTCGTGGTGAATAAGCTAACTTGCTCTTAAAATCTAATTACTCTATACTAATTTTTTCATAGCCTATGTTAGGTATTAGAAAATAAAAATTGTCAATTCATGTTTTATGCCAGGTATATGTGAGGTAATCCCCACACCAACCTTTTATCACAGACATTATTATATTATTTAGCTGAGATAACTAAATCTTAAAGAAATTTGAACTTTTTTTGTTTCTGGCAAGGAAAAACTAGGATGCCTGAAATCAGTGTTCTTACCTGAACCAGACAGGAAACTCAGCCACATCTCCATAGTTCACAAGTGATCAAAGTTCAAGAAGCACTCTGCAAAAAAAAACAAAAAAAAACAAAAAAAAAAAAACAAAAAAACAAAAAACACTCTACTCATTTTCTAAGCTGTGATTAACTCAGATGCTCTCCAGCCACATTAAAATATTGAAAAGAAACTGGCACCCAGAGGATTGGTGTTGTGAGCATTTTAAAATGTACTGTTTAAAATGTCTAACTACATTGACATCCCTGAGTAAGCCAGTGCTTAGTGACTGTCAGGTGGAGGGTTTCGGAGAAAATGAGAACTGATAGTAGGGGTGAGGTTTCTTTTGGAGGACATAATAAAAATGTTCTCAAATTAGATTGAAATGTTTATTCAGCTGTCAGTGTACTAAACATAGTGAAATTCCATACATTAAACAAATGAATCTTAAGCATGTAAAATATCTCAATAAAGTTGGTAGACTTTAGCCAAAATTGGTAGTCTACATTAAAGATAAAGTATTACATGAAGAAAGGTGATGCTATTCTGTTACATCTCTACTTCTAAAATGGATATACATAAATGTCATTTACAAGAATTGTTGTTGTTGTTTTTTAAACACATGCTCTTTTTTTTTTTTAATGTTTCCTTTATTTCTTTTTTCTTTTTTTTTCTTATGGTCAGCTCAGCCCACCCTGGGGGTGGGGCTGGCATGGCATGAGGTGCTGGGGATGGAACCAAGGTCCCTCCTTGCATGTTTGCCTAAGCAGGTGCTTTAGACCACTGAGCCATCTCACCAGCCCAAAGAGTTCTAAGTTTTTTTTTTGTTTTTGTTTTTGTTTTTGTTTTTGTTTTTGTTTTTGTTTTTTGGTGGAACCAGGGATTGAACTCAGGGCCTTGCGCTTGCCAGTGAAGAATTGTTTTTTAAAGAAAGGTAATTAAAAGGGTAAACCAAGTACCTCCCTGACTTCAGTGGAATTTGAAACCTCAGAGTGGCCACCAGAATAAAATTTTCAGGCAGAATATTATTGTATATATTTTCCCATATTGTCAAAGGGAAATAAATTCTAGAGATCTCTGAAAAATCAAACTTTCATTGCTATATAATTAAACAATAACAAGAGAACAGTCCTTACAAGAACTATGATGAAATAACTATTCTCTTTTCAAGATGAATTGTGATCTCACTTCATTTTTATTTGTATTTTCTTTAAATAACTCACAAGTTCGGTTTTCTTTATCTTAAGTAATGTATCCACTTTTGCACATTCTAATTCCCCACTTTTTTTTTCTAGCTATATAGTTCAAGCTGGCCCTGAACTGCCTGTGTACCTCAGGCTGGTCTCAAACACATAGTGATTCTCCTGCTTCAGCCTCCCAAATGCTGGTATTATAGACTTGTGCTATCAAACCCAGCTGTAATTTCCCTTTTTGAAATAAAACACCAGTCATCCCACTTTATGATTTATTTAGTGAAATGAGCACAATAACTATTCACCTCTTCTCATTTTGAGAAGCAAAAATAATACAATAACAATATATACAGTATAGTGATTTTTTTTTAGAACAAAACAAGAATAACGGTTTGTATTTTTTCTCAGGTGGCTGCATCCCATTCTTTTTCTAATTTTCTCCACAAGTACTGTATCCCTCCTTTGTGTTCTGGCATCTTCTCAGTTTCTTCCTTTCTCCTCTATGCAGACCATGTGCTTGTTTAAGGAAAAAGGCTGGATCTTATTTTTGTATCTCAGCATCTCTAACTGAAGGGTCTCAGGACTCAACTGAACTTAATCAGAAATGAAGTCCTATTACTAGTTATTATAAAGGCTATTGTTTAGCCAGTTTGGGTTTTTTTTTAATTTTTATTTTTTTAAGTTGAAGCATAGAATTAATGAAAAAAACTTTTTTAATTTTAAATTTTAGTATATAATCTTTGATGATTATTTGATATAGGCCATGGCCTTTGAATATGAAACTCTAATTTCAATTCTACTTAGCTTATCTTGAATTAACATTCAAACTTTTTTAAAACTTTAAAAACAATTTCAATTGGAGGTGTTTGGGAAGAACTTGAGAAATGAATACAGATTCTTTTTCAACTTTTACTATTTTCACCAACTTTCACAGACTTCTTGCCCACACCTAATACAACAGCAATTTTGATTAGCAACTCATTTCTGTAGACACTATCCCAAGTATTTTAAATAGCTCTTATACAAATGATAGCTTTCTTTCTATAGTTTTTCTGGTAAGTCAATAGTTTGATTATTAAATTTGAGAACAGACATAAGTGACTAGCTGAGTTTTTAGATCAGAAATGCAAGGAAGTCTAAAGAATAGCTAACCAGGTATACACAGTAAAGCTTAACCAGATGATCCAATAATACATTTTATGAAAAATAACAGAATATTGTTAAGCTAGTAAATCACTCAGTGGAGGAAATTTCAGAAAACCTGTATTGTGCTTGTTTTCTTCTGTACCAAAATTTCATTTATGAAGTTTATTCGGAGTCAGCTGTATCTGGCCAAAGGAGTTTATGAACTTTGTTTCTTTCCCTTAAAACTAGGTGCTTTGAAATGTCTTATTGTCATTTTAGGTCCCCAAAGAATTTCATGCTAATTGGTTTTTGTGTTTGTTTTAATTTCAGTGGTAGGAATGGGATCCTGGTGTTTCCACATGACTCTGAAATATGAAATGCAGGTTAGTAAAGACAAAATTAACCAAATGCTTACTTCTGTAAATCAGAGACCCTTTGATTTAGAAAAAACATAGCCAGGGATATAGCTCAGTGGCATAGCACCTGTCTGGCAGGTGCAAGCCCCTAAGTTTGATTCTTGGCAGCAAAAATAAGAGAAAGGAAAGAAGGAAGAAAAAAAAGAGAGATTTTTTTAATCTCTGGATTTTTTATTTTCCTTTAAGTCAAAAGATCTACAATGATTAAGATTCAAGATGAATTCCATTTTGAAGCACTGTATCTTTCTGATGAACTCTATATTGCTGTGTTTATTTATTTATTTTGTTGTTGTTTGTTTTTATGTGTCTGGTACAGTGTCTCACTATGTATCTCGTACTGATCCTTCTGTTTTCAGCCTCCTCAGCACAGGATTATAGGTGTGCGCCACCGTGCCTGGACTGGGTCACCCACTCAGCGCACCCAGGGGTGGGGCTGGCACAACATGCAGTACCAAGGATCAAGCCCCAGTCCTTTAGCTTGCTTAAGTAGGCACTTAGTCCACTAAGCTATCTCTCTGGCCCTTATTCAGTTTTAGAACAGCATTGAAATCTTTCATATCAGAGATATCTTAAAATTACATAATTAGTTCACCAAAACAATATATTCTTATTCTTAGATGCTTGTATTCTTTCATGTCTCTGTGGCGTACATTTCAATGATCCAGTCTCACTAGCTGGAAATGTTTGAGATACATGCAAGGATTTTAGTTCTTGCCCTGGTTCCAAAGAGATTATGTGTCTAGTCTTCAATTTCTTTACTTTTTGGTTTATCCTCACTAATTTAGAAAATTAGTCTTCTAGAACATCACTGTACAGTAGAAATAAAATCTGAGGAATATGTATATATATAATTAAAATTTTTTAGGAACATTAAAAAAGCAAAAAGAAATAGGTCAAATTAAAGTATACTCCTTTTTTGAGGTACTAAATATTAAAGCTGGGGCCTCATGCACACTACTATTGAGCTAACTTCCCCAGCCTTTTATTAATATTTTAAGAGAGTACCAGCTGGGCATGGTGGCTCAAGCATATAATCTCAGTATTCTGGGAAGCTGAGGCAGGAACATCCCAAAGTGTTATCCCAATCTGCACAAATCAGCAGTTTAGTGAAACCCTATCTCAAAATAAAATATAATAATAATAATAATGATGATGATGATGATGATGATGATGATGATGATGATGATGGGGCCCTATGTTCAATCCCCAGCACCACACACACAAAAAAAGTTCACATGTGACACACACACACACAACTGTAATCCCATCTACTCTGGAGACTGAGGCAAGAGAATTGCAAATTTAAGGCAGTTTAGCAATATCATCATCTCAAAAGAAAGTTCTTTGAACAGTAGTGATAATCCTTACACAAGTATTAAGGATGAGATGTATGAAATACAGTTCATACCCTTCAGACCACATGGTGCTCTCACAGAACAGGGTCTAAGGAAGTCCCCTCAAAGAGAGATGGAAAACTATGACTCGACCCATCTGCAGGGTGGGTTGCAGGTTCACTGACTTCAATCACAGAAAAAGAATTTTCAGGATGTGACAGCAAGAGGCATGAAGGGGTCTATTAGTATTTAAAGTGCACACTCAAAAGAGTGTGTGTTAACAAAAAAGAGAGGTACGTCGTAGTGTGGAGCTGGGGATAGTGATGTGGTTTTGGCAATGGAAATATGTAGAACTTGTGAACATATAGGAAGTTTAAGCTTTGTTTACTACCAGAGTAAAGTGATGGCTGACCCAGAAAAGATAATAGCACATTTTGCTGGCTAAAGGATGGCCCACTTTAGAAAGGAACAGGCAGGCCCAAGTCTGTTGTATTTTTTTTTTTTAATTTTTTTTTATTTTTTATTTATTTGAGAGAGAGAGAGAGAGAGACAGTAGTGTGTGTGTGTGGCCAGCTCAGCCCACCAGGGGGCGGGGCTGGCTGGCATGTGGTGCTGGGGGATTGAACCGCGGTCCCTGATGCTTTGCCAAGCTTGTTCTAAGTAGGTGCCTTAGACCACTGAGCCATCTCTCCAGCCCCGTCTGTTGTATTTTTTAAGAAGCATGATCTAAGGTGTTTTCCCTAAAAATATTCTTTGGAACTTTTAAATCTGTTTCTCTTAAGGTCAGGTTTTATAGAGGGGTGGTACTGGGAATCAAACTCAGGACCTCAAGTTTGCCAGGGAGGTGCTGCATCACTGAGCTAAATCCCCAAACCCTAGAAGTGCTTTTTCATGGGATCATTAGTTACCCTGTCATGGCTGTCTCCGTGTCTTGAATTGATTCAAAATGTTTACCTTTTGTGGTCATTTTGATTTTAAAGAAGAGCCAAAAGTCACACAGTGCCAGGTCCAGTGCATAAGGTAGATGAGAATGCCACATGTTTTCACTACAGTGTTTTTAAAGCCTGCCTTCTTGTTGGATGACACTCAGCAGCAGCATTTGCCATATTATTCATCACACCTTGTGAAAATACCCATGAAAGATAACTTCCAGGATGCTTGAGAAAATAGCAAAAATGGTTAGATGAGTTTGTTCAAAAAAAGGGTATATTCTGAGGGAGACTAATAGCAATGTATCCTTTACTGTAATAAGTTTTTCCAACTTAAAATTTACACATATTTTGATCACCTTTTGTGTATGAACAATAGATGGTCTACCAAAATGGACCTGTTAAGTACCTGGGTAAATTCTGGAAATGCTGGATAGCTATACTAATAATTGCTAACACATGAAAACTGAAATAAAAAAGATAAAAATACAAAAGGATTTAAGCTAGTAGATTCTGTTCTAAAACTTAGGTAAATTCTGCTTGTCATAAGATTTGTGTTTGATTTAGCTCTAGCATTTTTTTTAACATCTAAAGGTGACTCAAGTAAAAAATTTTGAAGTTAACATAGAGATATGCTTTAGAATCATTTCAAAATCTGGCTATGCAACCTCATTGATCTCATTGTTCATTTTGAAGCAAGAATGCTCAGTAACATCTCTTATAATCATGAAAATTGAGTGATATAATGATTATAAAGCTCTTAACCATGAAACCTTACACAAATGCTATTTTCATTACTCTAATAATTTACCAGCATACATCATTCACTTTGCATATGCTTTCTACTTACTTCGTACAATGCCTTTTTTCCCAGTATTTCATTTCTAGACACTTCTTTTCTAGTTTCTCTCTACTCCTTTTAGAATCGTTACTCTCTAATTAGATGTTTTCCGTTGTCTTTACCTTTTTAATCTATGAATTCCTGGAGGACAATTACTACATCTTATTTGTCATTGTATTTTCAGCTCCTAAAACATTACCTGGCACATAGTAGACATTATTAAAGAATTAATTATATAACTAGTGATAAACTTAACAGAATTGACTTAAAGATTAGAAGTAATAAGCCAGGTATGGTAATACATACCTGTAATCCCAGAACTTGCAAGACCAAGGCAGGAGAATGGCCATGAGTTTGAGGTCAAGTTAGGCTAAATAATGAATTTAAAACCAGACTGAACTACATAGCAAGACCCTGTCTCAAAAAGAAAGATTGGAAATAACCAGTCTGTAACACCTACCTTAATGTCCAGTATGCAGTTTAATAAGTAATGGCCATAATTACTACTATTCTGCTAATAAATAATATTACTTTTTAGAGACAATGGTTATTTGAATTGATAAAATTATTTCCCTGACCTTTGTTACATCTTTTTATTTATGTTAGTGGGTACTTTATCCACTTAAAGTGTTATAGAAAGAAAAGAAATGCAAGAGAATACTAATAAGACCTAGAGATCTTTAGATAGTAGACATCATTCTTTCTTAGCAGTATAGCATCATAATTTCTGGTGCTGAGTGACATATATTACACATAGCTGTCTTTTGTGAATAGTGAGTTGGGGCTGCTAGTTAGGTATGTATATTAGAATAGATGGATAAATAATCTGTTCAAAAACAACAATATACGTACTCAGGGAGTGAATTAAATGGCAGTAAATATATAAGAAAATAAGAGATGACAATCTTTTTGGGGAGGAGACCCTGGGGATTGAGCCCAGGACCATATATATATATATATATATATATATATATATATGCTAAGCACTGAGCTATATCCCCAACCCAGGAGATGATAATCTTAATCATTCTGATGCTTTATTTTGATTTGTATTGTAATTGCAGCTCCATCATGTTCAAGTCTATTATATCTTTGTTTCATATAGCTATTGGATGAACTCCCAATGATTTACAGCTGTTGCATATTTGTGTACTGCATGTAAGTATTAACATTTACATTTCATTTATTTGATATATTTTAAATTCCCATATGCCTCAGGACATTAACAAATGTAGCCTAGTTATATTACAAGAGATTGTGATAATGAAAATTGTAAATTTTATATCAGTGAAGAACCTGGGTTTCTGAGAAGATGTAAGAATACTAGTAGGTGCTATTTATCTACTATATTATGCTAAACAGTATACCATACTGTATAGTCACTTTCCCCTTGATGGAACAGAATACTTGACAACTGAAACTTAAAAGAGAGGTTTATTTCAGTAAATGTTTCAGTATTTGGTCATCTGGCTACAAGGTAGAAATGACATGGCAGCAGAAAACTGCTCAACCCATGGCAGCCAAGAAGCAGAGAGAGGAGGGAAGAGCTGAGCAAAGGATCCACCCTTCCAGGCCACACCCCCAGTGACCCGCCTCTTCTGACCAGGCCCCACCTCTCAGCAGCACAGTCACCTTCCAGAAGCACCATATCTGAATATATAAGACTTTTGGAGGCCAACAAGATAGCTCAGCAGATGAAGTGTTTCTTAGGCAAGCTTAGACAAACTCAGGGACTGCAGTTCAATCCCTGGCACTACATGCTGCACCAGCCCCACCCCCAGGGCAGGCTAAGCCAGCCAGAGTCCAAGCGTGGTAGTGCATGCCTGTAATCCCTGGGCTGGGAAGGCTGCAAACAGGAGGATCACTGGGAGTCTGAGTCCGAGCTGCATAGTGAGACCGTGTATCAACCAATTACATAAAAATTTAAAAAATTAGAAAGACTTTTGGAGAACACTTTAGATTGAAACCTCAAAATATACCATCTCTGATTCTCAGCAATTGTGCAAGATAAGTGGCTTTGTCCTCATTGTATAAACAAAGTGAAACACGGAGAGATTGAGTAACTTTTGTAAGGATGTAAACAAAATTTGATTAAGAAGGATCCTAGCCAGGCCATTATCAGATAAGCAGCCTCTAAAGGGCACTAAAATATCCCTGGAAATATACCATGATTGAGAAAACTGCAGTGGTAAGAATCACTTCCGGAGATGTTGGAAAAACATTTTGATTGGCACAGGAGATATGGTGGAAGTGTGGAAGGGGGACCCTTCCTGAGTGCATGATCAAATAACAACATAGAATCATTAACTGTGCCTTCCAAGAAGCCTGAAGGGAGATATTTTCATCTGTTTAGTTTTTGGGGTTTTTTTGTTTTTTTTTTCAGAACCAGGGATTGAACTCAGGCCCTTGCGCTTGTCAGGGAAGTGCTTATTCCACTGAGCCATCTCCCCGGCCCGCAATCTGTGTAGTTTTACTAAATTAAGATATGCAAGTTTGGGTTTCACCTAATTCCTGGTAACATTAAAGGTGTTCACCCTACAACATTCAGTCTCTCCAGATGTTCAATATGTAAAGAATATGGAAGTCATCTTTCATAAGTATCTGTACTCATCAGAATATGATAAAGTATGCCAAATGCTGTTGCTGAATGCCGTCCAATATGATAGTGCTCTCATCCACCTTATTCATTGGATCTAGCACCGTGTGACCTCTTGCCCAAAATTAAAATGACTATGAAAGGTAAAAGTTTGCAATCCATTCAGGACATCAAAGCAGCTATAACAACACAACTAAAGGCATGAGGACTTCCAAATCGACTTCAGAAAATGGCAAGACTGATGAGATAAGTGTGGTCAAAGCAATAAGGAGTATTTTCAAGGGGAATAATGGCTGTGTGTCTTTTACTGTAATAACTTTTTAAATTTAAATATTCACTATATTTTTCAGTCATACCTTATATAATAGTATCAGCAAACTCTTAGGAAAGTGTAGGGTTTTATGTAGAAATTAAAGATACTTAGCCAGATGTGATGGCACACACCTGTAGTCCCATCTCTTCAGAGAGTGAGGCAGGTAGGTCTCAGTTCAAGGCTAGCCTGAACTACATAGGGAGATCCTGTCTCAAACAAAAAAAGGATGTTTAGTCCAGTGTCTAATTCTGACACTCTGCATGACCTTAGTAATTCACTTAATCTTTTTCTATTATTTCATTTGTAAAAATGAAAAGTATAGCATCATTGGATGGGGTCTGAGGAAGTCTCACTAGGATTTTTTATTTTTTATTTTTTTAGCTAGCTCAGGCAGCCTTGAGAGCAGGTCTGGTGCAGCTTGTGGAGCTGGGGATTGAACTGTGGTCCCCTGCACCTGACTGTGTTTGCCCAAGCAGGCGTTTCTAACAACTGAACTCACCCAGAACTCTTGAAGAAGTCTTTCTAAAGAGGAGTTAGGAATCTCACTCATCCTAGACAAGTTCTTTACTTACTATGACAGAAAAAAATTTTAGGATGTATCCATGAGAGACACAAGTTGATTATTTGGAAAGTAAGAGTGAAAGAGGGACTTTGCCCTAAAGTGATCATGGAGGCACCCCTGTGATAAGATCAGACTGGCCTGTCAAGAAAGGGAAAGAACCAGCTTTTGTGGAGTTGTTGGGTGGGGAAGGTTTTGGCTGGTCAGTCTGTTAATTTTTGTTTTGTAAAGTGGCCCTAAAGAAGGGTCTGTCACTGGAGAAATCAGTTTAGTCTCCACGAAATGGCTGGTTCTACTTGGAGTACTCTCAGTTTTGGCAAGGCTCTGCTGGAATTCAAGGTAACTGCTTTAGGGCAGTGACTAGAGACTGTCACCCACTATAGCTGAATGTACCTGTAAATCTCTTACTTTGGTAGCCTCATTCTTAAAAACAGATATAACAATACCTCATATTGCCAGTTTTTAGACAGACATTCCTTAAGTGATTAGTGTGCCTCCACATAGACTTGAGCAGTAATCTGACCCAAAAGTTGAAAGTAATAAAGAAGACAAATGCATAATAAAGGCAGAGATGCCAAACTTTATGCAATTTTTAGTTACCCACTGGGCATCTATAGGCCTAAGTAAACAGTAACTTTTATTTTTATTT